ACCAGTCCTGGTGAGGAGCATCACAGCACTGCTGTGTGGCAGTACTGTGTGAATGTACTGAACGCTTGCTGACCTTGACAAAAAAGGCATTAAGAACAATTTTGAGTGTGCTAAAGAATGAGGGGCTTTAGGTTTTGTATTGTGCTATAAAACATCAACACCTAGTGTGGAAAGGGTAATCAATTCTGGTGCCAATTTTAATTGAATGTAGTAAAGACAAATGAAAAGTCTGCTTTCAGTTCTCCGTGAGAAGCCCACAACTATTGCTCTTTACTTGCAATGGTTTTAAATGTATTTTGCTCAATAAGCATGTTTCTGGGGATGAAAAGTCAGGTTTGTACAGCTCTTGATATTCACTGCCAGCTCTTGGAAGGGATGCGAGTCTTTCACTGCCCTGCTCCTGCCTATGTTCCTTAAGCCATCTGTAATTTACGCTCTCGTGAAGCATAGTTCCCTCCTGCTCTGCTCTGGAGTGCCCCATCAGAGTGTTGGTGCAGGTTGTTTTTGAAGGGCTGTTGGCAGTGACTTCATTGAATGCGAAGAATGCTTCCACATGTTCCAGGCCAGGCTGCTGTGTCTAGCACCTTAAAATAGGGTGGCTGGCTTCTTAAGTCCTTCTGGTCCCTTTAGCCCTCTGCCCTCCAGTGCTTTTGCCAGTTTGTTATATAAAACTGAAGAGTTGTAGGTTGATTCACATTATTCTCTTTGTAATCTTCCATTTCTCCACAGGCTTCTCCACATGCTGCCCAGATCTTGTCCACCTATCGGATCTCCCTTTGTGACTTATGACGCTCATGCCTTCAGTTTGATGTAAACAGATGTTTAAGGTGCTCCTTTTTGTATGGATATGTACATATTTTTTTCTGAAATGCTGTAATAAAATTTTCATATTTGTTGCTTTTGTGAGTGTTCTTGAATTGGGCATATCTGTTTTCGGTGGACCTGCAGCTCTTGCTGCCTGTCATTTAAAAACAGGGTTGGTACTAATTTCTTAAAATCTGGATCAGTTTAAATAGTGGTTACCTCTAATACCTGCTGCTGAGACTTCCCCTGCTCTGACTGCATGAGACCTGACAGACTTGGAGAGCTTACGCTAGTGATGCACAGCTCCAGTCCTGGAGCCCTATGGGCTGTGGGTTTTGGTTCCATCATTCTACCCAAGTCCCTTTTAGTTTAATGGCACCTTCTCAATGTTTCCATGTTCCTTAGCTCTTGGGTTTATAGATGCCTGGAAAAGCAGCAGGATCCTGCCCTTCTACCTGGGCTTGTGCACCTATCA